CCAAGACAGCCTTTGTAACACCAGATGGACTATATGAATTCACCGTTAAGCCCTTTGGCCTCTGCAATGCGCCTGCCACTTTCGAAAGGATGATGGATACCGTCTTGCGAGGTCTGAAATGAAAAACGAGCCTCTGTTATTTGGACGACATTGTGGTACTTTCAAGTGACTTTGTGACCCACCTCAGCCGCCTCGAGCAAGTTCTTACGTGCCTTTTCACGGCGAGACTTCAACTTAACTTGAATAAATGCCACTTCGGCGCTCGCAAGCTTAAAATTCTCGGCCATGTGGTTTCTAAGGACGGCATTTTCCCGGACCCTACGAAACTTAATGCAGTCGCTGCGTTCCCAAAGCCAACCACCATCAAAAAGCTTCGAAGCTTCATCGGCCTATGTTCTTACTTCCGGCGCTACGTCCGCAATTTCGCCTCCATTATCGCCCCCTTGACCAATCCTCTTGCCAGAAGTTCTGATTTGTCAGCGTGGTCGCAGGCGTGTGATGATGCATTTCAGGAACTCTGATGGCTCCTCACCACGCCTCCCATACTCCGACATTTCGATCCGTCTGCTCCAACGGAGCTTCATACGGACGCTAGTGGTGTCGGGCTAGGGGCCATACTGGCCCAACGCAAGGATGGCTTTGACGAGTACGTCGTTGCCTATGCCAGCCGCACCCTCAGTAAAGCCGAGAAGAATTACAGTGTAACTGAAAAGGAGTGCCTCACCATTATTTGGGCAATCGCAAAATTTCAGCCTTACTTATATCGACGTCCGTTTGATATTGTAACAGACCACCATGCACTTTGCTGGTTATCTTCACTAAAAGATCCTAATGGTCGGCTCGCTCGTTGGGCATTGCGGTTACAGGAGTTCGATATCCGTGTTATCTACCGTCCTGGCAAAATGCCCACTCAACATGCCACAGGTCCCTTGCAGCTGTTGCCATGTCCAGCACGAGCTTTCGATCGTGTCGGAATCGACCTTTACGGTCTGCTTCCTTATACTTCGAGTAGCAACCGCTGGGTGATTGTCGCTATCGACCACCTAACGCGGTACGCTGAAACATCTGCGTTACCTTCTGCTACCGCAAAAGACGTTGCATGTTTTATACTGCAAAACCTGGTTTTAAGGCATGGAGCACCTCGGGAGTTACTAAGCGACCGCGGCCGCGTTTTTCTCTCCGCTGCCATCAAAGCGTTGTTGAGCGAGTGTCGCATCATACACCGCACTACCACAGCCTATCACCCGCAAACTAATGGGATGACAGAGCGTTTTAATCGTACACTTGGGGATATGCTGGCCAAGTACGCTTCATCCGACCAGTCAAATTGGGATTGCACACTGCCTTTTGTGACATATGCTTACAACACTGCAACGCAAAGCACCACGGGATTTTCGCCTTTCTTCCTTCTTTATGGACGCGAGCCATCATCAACAATGCATACCATTCTTCCTTATCGATTGGACCCTTCAGAGATGACTACCGTTTTTCGAGCAGCAGCACACGCTGAAGAATGTCGGAAGCTTGCTCGTGCGTTCACGTCACATGACCAGACGCGCCAAAAAAATCGCCACGACGCGTCAGCCACGCCTATGAGCTTTGCTCCGACTTCACTGATGTGGTTATGGATTCCTTCTACTCCTCCAGGACTCTCCCACAAGCTTTCGTCCAGGTACCATGGCCCTTATCATGTTGTACCCCAAACATCCCCTTTCAACTACCTTGTGGAGCCGCTGGATGCATCTCCAGACAAGCGCCGTCGGGGACAAGAAATCGTACACATCTCTCGGCTCAAGCCATACCATGACCCTGCTGTGTACACCCTGTCCTTAGGTCACCAGGATGGCTCCCTCATCACCCGGGGGTGATTGTAACGACGGCAGTGGGCATGGAGCTCGAGTATAGAAAAGGAAGAAGACTTGCTGTGATCGCAGGCTTGCGTTCAGTTAGTATATATATATATATATATATATATATATATATATATATATATATATATATATATATATATATATATATATATATATATATATATATATATATCCGTATAGGGAAGAAGACGCATGTACGAAGTGATTTTATTGACGTTTCGGCCGTGGGTCCGGCCTTCATGATTCTGACGAAGGCCGGACCCACGGCCGAAACGTCAATAAAATCACTTTGTACGTGCGTCTTCTTCCCTATACGGATAATCTTTCCGGACCCAGCATCACTTTCATCACTTTTGTTTTGGTATATATATATATATATATATATATATATATATATATATATATATATATATATATATATATTATATATATATATATATATATATATATATATATATATATATATATATATGTCATTTCACGCGAACTGTCCCAAATGCGGCGCTCGCCCAAAATCAGTTTTATATATATATATATATATATATATATCTCAGAACGTTACCCACATATAGGCATTATTTCTACACTATTTTTCTCAAATGTTTTCAGCTGAAAAAACTTTTTTGGCATGTGACTACCATTTGAAATTCATGAAATGGTGGAAAACAAGGTATGAAACGAGAATTTCATACAAAGCAACCGTTTCACATATTCTTTCAACATTTGATTTCTTGAATTTTTTCAGCATCATGCTTTTATTAGAAGACAGTTCTGCGTGGTAGATTTATATTTTTATTCCTTAGCACATCAACAACCTTGAACAAAATTGTAGCGTTTTTGAAATTTTTAACAAAAAATACTTACTGATGAAATGCTCACATTCAATTTTATCGTACTCTCCACAAAACGTACTATGTCCTATGTCATTTTTTGGCCTGTGCGTGGCACATAAGTTCTAAAATAAAATCCTTAGCTTGGCAAAAACGCACTTCAACCTATGTTGAGACATCTGTACCAATCTACAAGATGTCCCCCCAAAAATGTACAACAAAGTGCATTCGATTCAAAGCGCACGGTATATATGACCACGCATTGCACATTCACACTTTCCGTGCATTGTCCCTGACCGTAAGGACGGAATATGCCAAACTATTTTTTACTGCTTCATATGGGCAGGTGCACGCCTGTGGCATATTTCCGTTAAAGTAGGATTTTTCCGTAAGGTGCCATGCACTGTTTTGTAGCTGTTATAAGATGACAACGTACGATTTTGGTGGCGTTGTTACCGGCCGCCATCTATGGTGTTAGCCAGTGTAATAAGCAATGCGGCTCATTGTTGGGGACATGACATCTAAGCGAATAGCATTGTCTTCGTTTAGTATCACCTCGACATAGTGTATAAAAGATAAAGAACTAAGAGAACTTAGAACCATGTACCGTTACTATACTGCCACTCTTCTTTAGGCAGAAAAGTATTGCCCCTAAAACAAAATATTGCAACGGCATGACTAAAACTCACTTCGTTCTCCACTGAAACAAAAAATACTGTGATTGAAATTCATGCGAACAAATTGCAATGATTTTTATTCGTATGCGCTATTCTGTAGATTACTTCTTGTACCATCTCAGGCTAGTACAGTCGTCTCAACGCAGGCCAAAGTGGCATTTTTGCCCAATTTAGGATTTTGTTTTAGAGCCCATACACCGCGCACAGGCAAATAAAAATAAAAAAAAATAGTACAGTTTATGGCGAGTTTATTAAAAGTAAATTATACCTTTTGTTGGGAACCATATTCTGTAGGAAAGTTCTCATAAATGCTGCAGTTTCGCTCTATTTTTCCCATACGCAAAAGAATGAAAAAAATACAAAACAACCATAAGGAATGGTTCATATATAATAATAGCAGGATGCTCGGAAAATGCAAAAAATGCCAGGCCTGTGCGGAAGGCGAAGCACAGTCACAGCGAAAGCTAGAAGAGCGATCTTTCAGAGCCTTTTATAAACACCTATTGGGTAACTGCTGCAAACACAATCGCTAGGTACCCTCTACGACATTAAGAATTTCTGGGTAGTAGACCAGCATTCGCTATGCTGTTTTTTGTCATTTTTCTGAGAAGCGTTGTATCCGCTAAAAACTTGAAAGGACTTTTGTGCCAATTGTTTATGCAGTGACTGACGATGATGAGAAATTATGCCTGAAGTGGGTAGGCGCCGCAGTTAATAGGTGATCAAAAACAAGCTTTTGTAATGACTCCTATATATTATATATTTTTGACATGATAATGTGAATAAAGTGGAAATGAAAATATTAATACCCTGATCGCAAAAAGCGAATTTTACGCTAACGCTTGACCCCCTCAGCTCACTCAAACTCAGGTCAAGCCGTCAGTTCGAGTCCCGAATGAGTCTGGTTAAGAAAAGCTTTTATATGGCCTGAGTCTTAGTGAATCTCGTTAAGGCAAATTTTGGTGATTTTCAGTAGAATTGAGTTTTCAGAGTGATAGATATTTCTAGAGTGAGTCTCAGTGAGCTCCATTTTTTTTGCTAGCAGATGATAGTGGCTTTGATAAAACTTCAGATTTAATGGTAGGTGGCTGAAATTCCAAAGCAAATGACAGGTCATGAGAGATGCCACTGAGAGTGGATTTCTTTGAAATTTGAGTACTTCCATTTTTATATCGTCCATCCTAGGAAGCACGCTACAAGAGCGCCCTTGCATGCATTTAGTCATGATTTAAAATCTGGAACACGTCATTGGCAAATTAAGGGCATCGTTCTCAAGTGCAGAATGAGTGCCTCCACTCTGCTGGGGGAGAACCTGCTCCTAAAGTATTGTTCAAAAAAGAAAAAAAGTGATATTATTAAAATTTGACACAAATACGGTTTGTAGCAGAGGCATCATTGTGAGGGGATTGAGCCATCTGGCTGTGACGGGCATAGAACATTGTTTTGCTCTACCTGTTATGGTAGCTGGTGTGCTCAAGCGTCTTTTTGGGATAACACAAAGGCTGCCTTGTTGAATGGCAAATGAAACGTTGTAAAACTGCGCCACGCATACTTACTTTATCCTTTATTTTGGAAGAGGGGCATTAGCATATTAACAGACCGGCATGTTTTTTTTTTTTCAGGTTCAAGGTTCGAAGAAAGTGAAGTGCTACAGTGGCTTTGCCGTGTCAGACACTCCTACGAAGAAATTCTGGGTTCTCGGTCAGGTGTTCATCGGCAGCTTCTACACCATCTTCGACAGGGGCAGTGACCGCATTGGATTCGCGACCGTCGCCTAAATGGCACTTTCAACTACAAGGAAAAATAGCTGATTGGAATGCCGTATGCCTACAATTCTATCACAAAATACATCGTAATTGAAAAAAGAATGAAAGAAAGGAAAGGAGAAAGAAAGAATAAGACAGAGATGGACCGACAGAAAGAGAGAGATCTTTAAAGCGAGGCTAATACAATAAGTGAGGTCACAAGGACTATATATGTGTTTTTAGATTTCTGCAGCATTAAATACTCGAACAGTGTGAAACTATAAGAAGCAGAAAGTTGTTGGTGCATATCTCATTTGTAAAAAGATCAACAAAACACACAATATTTTAGCACACGTTCGGCAACAGTTGAAACAGGTGAAACGGCTATGAAGCGATGCATACGTCGTTCTTCATCTCAGCCATGGCCCAAGACGCAGACGAGTCTTGAAGAAACTTTCCTGAAAACTATTTTAGACAATGTGCCACTGCGAAGCACTGGACTTCTATGAGCACTGGAAAATGAAGTACATCTTTCTTTCTTACCGAGGCACATGGATGCTTTTTTCCATCCACTTTTATCCAATAAAATTTAACCTGTAATACCTCTTTGCATATTTCTGGCTGTGCAGAATGAGAACGGCTCTTGCATTCTGTGAACTATCAGATTTTCCCGAGCGGAGGCAAGTTTTGTGTGACAAGCGTAGAAAGTTCACGCTCATTTTATTGTATTCTTTAAAAAACGAAGGGACGGAGATAAAGTGATTCTTTTATGGAATACCTTGACGTTATTGCTTCGTTTTTACTCAAGTTCTGAAAACTAACACGTCCTTCTTGTGAAAATAAACGAAGAATCACCTGAGGACCTACCTCACTGGCGCGCCACCAGCCGTCAGGCTGAGTGCCGTCTGAGATATGTGGAAACGAATCAAGCGACACGTGCTGCGAGGAAACAGAACTGTACACAGACAACATCGACTTATCGGACGATGACTTGAATCTTGTTGTGAGCCGTATTGGAAAAAATAAGACTGCTGCCGACGTCATGGTTGGGAACTATAGTGTCTCTACGATGAAGACAGACACACATTGTTGAGCTTGCGCAGAGTATGGGATAGATACCGGGTTCGATTCCCAGTGCCGACCGAAGACTCACCAACTTTATGAGAGGCCATGACATGGTCGCCCAACAATATGTGATTTTCAGTGAAAACTGGACGTAGAGTGTATATTACGCCTATACAAATACGAAAAGTCACCGACCAACGTCGGCGACTTTTCACCGAACGTCACCCAAATTTGGCGTCCGCCATTTTACCATGGCATTTGTGACATCAGGTGCAGCAAGGTGCGGTGTCAGTCTTCTATCACAGTTTCAGCCGGTGCATATAGTAAACTTCTACTGCCAAGCCGAAGAAAGCTAAAATATCTCAATTTTACGCGCAGCTCACCACGGAACAATATTATTCGTCAGAATGAAGAATCGCGCATCGAGCTTCTTGTTACGTCACGGCTCGCGATTGCGCCGATGTTGCCCGACTGTCAGGCTGCTTGCGTGTTTGCAAATTTATTCAATTACAAATAGGGTGTTCGACCAAGTGGGCTAAAATTTCGCCAGCTGATTTGTGAATGTTCAAGGATAAACCCACATAACAAAGATTATTTATAGAAAATTCAGTGCTGTGGTCAGTTTATGAAATAGAAGAGTGCACGGTCGTCCGCCTAGGTAGAACAATGGCTAGGGTGCTCGTCTACTAGCCCAAAAGTCGCAAGTGTGATACCGGCCACGGTGGTCGCATTCTGATGGAGGCGAAACGGTAGAGGCCCGTCAACTGTGCCATGTGAGTGCACGTTGAAGAACACCAGCTGTTCGAAATTTCAGGAGCCCTCCACTAGGATGTTCCTCATAATCATACCGTATTTTTAAGACCTAAAATCCCACATATTCCTATTAAAAGTACACCGTAATGACACTCGGTTGTTCATGCATACTCATTTTGAAAAGCAGCCCCATAAGATTCCGTAAGTGCCCCTAGGTTCACGTTAACCCACTGCAGCCTCGGTGAAATAGTCGAGCATTCACTGGTGCTGTGGGAGGTAGAGCATTGCTGCCACATGGTAACCTACCGGTGAAACAGGTACATGCCACTTCCGGCATTGTGATCGGTAGAACGAAGTACAGGTCTCCTGAAAGGGTACCCACCTTGTAAAAAACTGGGGGCATGGGGCTGGCAGACGTCAAAATAAAATAACTATTTTTTCACAGCGCTGGCTGCCTATTGCGCTATGTACTCGTTTATATTCTACTTACCTACGGAGAGAATGCTTGGATATAGAGAGAAACAAACTTTTATTTTGAAACGCAAGTCCGGGTCTGGGATGCTTGAATGCTTACAAAGAAAGGTTTAGCTTGATTTCAGGATGACGCATCGAGTGATGGAAAGGAAAATAAATGGTATAACTTTAAGAGATAGGAAGACAACAGCGTGGGTTAGGGAACAAATGGGAGTTAAGGACATCTTAGTTGAAATCAAGAAGAAGTAATGGACATGGGTCGGGCATGTAGCGCGTGGGCAGGATAACCACTGGTCGTTAAGGGTAGCACATTCGATTCCAGGAGAAGGCAAACGCATGAGGGGGAGACAGAAAATTAGGTGGGCAGAGGAGATTAAAATGTTTACAGGTATAACGCGACCGCAGAAAGCAGAGGAACGGGTTGATTGGCGGAAGTGGGACAAGAGTCTGCTCTACAGTGGGCGTAGTCATTCTGCTGCTGCTGATGAGGGTGACGCTATTTGTAACCATATTATATATAGTTACGCTGAAGCGGGAACGTGTGCACGAAGATTCAAGAAAGAAGAAAACGAAGTGTTCTGCCTTGAAAGCAGCTCTGTGGCGGCACGGCTATCCTTCGCTATTCACCCTTGAATGAACACACCCCATCGTAACAGTGTCGGTGAGAGGGTCTGAGGAAGATAACGGCGCCCGCGACGAACGACGACGCACCGACCGCTGAGGCGCAATACATGGAGGTTCGCCGAAGTCGACGACTTTCTGGTCTGCCACCTGCAATGACTTCTCATGGCAACAACGACAACCAACCACCTGCTCCCCGTATTCCATGGCGACCCTAAATTAAGCCCCCAAACTTCGCTGGACAAGCTGGGGAAGATGTCGATGCATGGCTCAGCTCCTATGAACGGGTGAGTCGGTTTATTTGCTTGGCTGCTCCCGGCCAGCTGAACAATGTGGGACTCTTTCTCAAGAGAACCGCGTCTGTATGGTTTGAAAACTATAAAGAAAGCCTGACGACCTGGCAGAAATTCATCGATAAAATCAAGAAATGCTTCGGTGATCCGTCAGCTAAGAGGAAGCGCGCCGAGCAAACCCTCATCCAACGAGCTTAAGTACCCGGGAAAACCTGCACGACGTGTATAGAAGAGGTACTCAAGTTGTGCAAGACACTGGACCCCTGGATGACAGAAGATGACAAGGTTAATCATCTTTTAAAATGAATTGCGGAGAACGTCTACCAGTTCCTCATCGCCAAAGACAGCTTGGAGTCCGTAAGTGACGCCATAGGTATTGCCGTACGTTTGAAGCGCTAGCGCGCCGAAATATACCAAAGTTAGGCCGCCCCTGGCCAACGTCACTACTGTCACCAGTATCGACGTGCATCGCGCCCATCGGACCTCGCATCGGTGATTCGGCAAGTAGTGCGCGAATAGCTAGACCTATGTGAGGCGCCTTTTTCACCGGCAATTAATTTCTGAGAGTCCTTCTCTCTCTACAACTTTGAAGCGACGGCTATCAACACCGCCTCCCTTGATGCCTCTAACTATACACCTCGTCCTCGAGCGCGAAGCCCCACAATTCATCCGCATGCGGCTTACCAGTGGTATGATGACTGCGCACGCAAACCACCTGCCATTTCTCAAGAGTGAAATGACCGGGCTATTCATCCTTCTGCTGATCTGTAGGTCACTCCGTGAACGTTCATTATGCTTCCATGGCGGCGTCCGTGGCCATGTCACCGGATTTTGCGCGAACGCCACCGCACAGCAGCACTATCCTATAGACGACCGCATACATTCTACCGGCACAGCAATCAGCACGTTGATGAGACAACCTGGCCCTCTGACTCGGACAGCAGCTCAAACCACCAGGCTAATCACCGCAGTGACTCACCGGCGTCGGTGCACAGCGTGACGCCGCCACTTTCACGCTACCGACGGTCCCCATCTTCTCGACGACGTCCCACGTCACCGCCGCCGGGAAATTAGGTGGCGCGACTAATGGACGTGAGGTCACCAGTCATCCTCAACTACGCGCCGCTATGCCTCCGCCAGTGACCACGTGTCATAACAAGATTTGTGTTTCTGTGACAATATTACTACGCTAGCTTTGGTGGACACGGGAGCGAGTGTCTCAGTTATCAGCGTGAATTTTAAAACCAAACTAGGCCGTAAGGTCATGTTCCGGCAGGATGATGCGAGCTCATTTCATGCTGTGAGAGGAAAATTACTCCGATTTCTTGGTGTGTGCACCGCGAAGGTTCATTTCTCTGACAACGTATATAAAGCCGAGTTCATAGTACTCACTAAATTCACGCATAATGTAATTCTGGGTCTGGATTTCCTACAACAGGGCGGTGCCGCTCTTGAATGTGGTACCGACGAGCTTTTTGTTTCTCCCCTTACCGGCCAACCTACTACCTGTTGGCACAGCCTCACCGTCTGTGAAGATTCCGTCTTACCGCCACGTTCCTTATCCAGCGTTCAAGTAATCAGCGTTGCTAGTGCCGACAACGATGCATTCGAAGCTATTGTTGATCCAATGCCTTAAACCCTTGCAAAGAAGGGTGTGTTCGTGCCTCGCTGTATTGTCTCTGTGGCCAGTCGCATAAGTATATTGTTGGTGTCAAATTTATGCAACCAGTCTGTTGTGCTTCCAAGCGGTATGCGACTTGTCTTGTTAGAAGCAAATACAAGCATCAGCATAAACGCCCTAAGCAATGCCGCCTCGCATAGAGCGCAAGGTGATCGCTGAACAGGTGGAAGAAATGTTGGTTAAGGGCGTCATCCAAGATTTTTATAGCCCTTGGGCTGCGCCGGTCACCCTCCTGAAGAAGAAAGACGGGTCCTGGAGGTTTCGCGTCGACTGCTGTCGCCTGAATTCGGTCACTAAAAAGATATGTAGCCATTTCCTCGCATAGATGACGTTATCGACTGTCTTCATTCGGCGTCTTATTTTTCATCTGTCGACTTCAGATCGGGCTATTGGCAGATAACTATGCATTCCATCGACAAAAAGAAAAATGTTTTTGGACTTTAGACGGCTTGTTTGAATTCCATGTCATGCCGTTCGGTTTGTGCAATGCCCTGCGACCGTTGAAAGGTTTATAGACACGGTACTGCATGGTTTCAAATGGGAGCTTTGTTTGTGTTATCTCGATGATGCCGTCATTTTCGGTCGCAATTTTGCTGAACACAATTATCGGCTTGACGTTGTTCTGACATGCCTTGAACAAGCTGCCCTTGCCTTGAACTCCAAGAAATGTCACTTTGGCTAAGGAGAAGCACTTGGACATCTCGTAGACAGACATAGTGTGCGTCCAGACCCTCAGAAGTTGCTGCAGTTAGCAGTTTTGAACAATCACAGTCTCAACGCGAACTGAGAAGTTTTTTGGGTCTCTGGACATGGCTAACAAGGTTAGCCACGCCCACCACCTTGTCCGTTTTTTAGTTTTCAACTAAACAATTAGCATTCTTCGCATTA